TAGCCCCCAGCATCCCTGGCATGACCCAACACATGGGCCCCAACACCTGAGGCCTGCCAGCAAACTGAGAAAACCAGGGATGTGAGGCTTATGACAGTGATCTGGCTGATGGAAAATCAGCCCTCCAGTGGCACAGCCACTTAAAACTGAGCACCCTAGACCTTCACACATCCATCCCCTGTTGCCTCAACTCTTTCCTCACTGCTGTTTCTTCAGTAGCTTTGCTGGGAAATACGAGAGCGCTGCTTATGCTTTTGCCTTCAGCCATACATTGGCCTCTGCCCCAGGTGGTGTTGTGAGCCCTGTCCTGTTCCCTGAAATCTCCCATTCCTCAAGCTACATCTTCCTTTTGTTGTTTCTACAGAAGCAATTCCTTCAGCAGAAATTGAATAAGGCCAAAAAAAAAAAAAAAAAAAAAAAAATTAAATAAAAAAAACCCCACCAAAAATAACCCCTAAAATATCTAAGGAAAAAAAGGACAAACCCAAACCATGCAATTTTGGAGTTTCCAAAATGAATGAAACATGGCAAACATTTTCAACTGTACCCAAAAATTTATGGAGGAAATACATAAATATCTACATTTCTTGAAAGAAATTGTTTTGAAAATGCACAGCATACTGTTTCACTGCCTCTTAAACACAACCCTCTGATTTGCTATTTGAAGTGGCATTTTCCACTCAAAAGGGACATGAAATAAAAGAAAGTGTGAGAAACAAGAGTGGTAACCTCAAAACAAAATGTTACATTCAAAACGCAATTTGGGCTGACCCAAAATAACACATTGGGGTTTTTTCCCATTTCCCCCAAGCAACAATAAGTTTAAAAAATCTATTTAAAAAAAAGAAAAAATGGGAAAAAAAAGAAAAATTACCTTTGCATTGATGCAATCTAGTTCTTTTACTCTCCGTTTTCCAGATCAGCCCCTGAACTGAGGCAGCTGTTATTTCCCCAGGTCTTTCAGAGGTTATCTTCTCTGTTTTGTGCCTTCCTGACACACAGTACATGGGCAGACATGGAATGAGCAACAAACCTTTGCTCCTTTGGGCCAAACTGAGCCCTCAGGTACTCCATTTTACTCCATCCTTAAAAGTGAGTCAGTATTATCCAGGCCACCTGACTTCAGAATTTCAAGAGCTTCTAAAATTCTCAATGCAGATTCTGTTGTCGCATGAGTGTGTGAAGAAGGCAGGGTAAGGGCAATCTGTTCATATTTAATCTTTCTACCTCTGTCACATTTACTGTGTGACTTTGGTGAGTTGATTTGCTCCCATGGCTCAGTTTACCTAATGCAGAGCAGAAATAAGCTTTATCAGCACAGCAAGCTGCTGTGCCTACTCATGGGTGAGCTCTCCTGAAAACATCACATTAACCACGGCACTGGTGTGCAGTGAAGTTTCTTTCCCTCTACTACATCATCTACAGAATTCCAAAAGGATTTAGTGGTCTAAACCTGCCTAACCATGTGGTCTCTTTTGTGATGTTACTCTGCTTGCAAGGGTAGCCAAGCTTTGAGAAAAACATTTTCTTCCCTCCTTGCCTTTCCCCTTTTCACTTTTGGGGTTTTTTTGCATCTTCCTCTGTGGGTTTCCGGCAGTTCCTTACAGCCCCACAACAGACAGCTGTGTTCACTGTACCTGTGTGTGTGTGTGTCTGACTTTTCCCCCCACCAGATTTGTCTACAAGATAAGCACCAGCTTGCGGAAATCCTGTGTCACCGATTTTACAGCAGCTTATTGTGCTGGGGATCCCAGTGATATTTTTTTCCTTCTGTAAGTCTTGCTGACAGATACATCCATTTATTTTACACCCCTTGGAAATGTGAAGTAAAGATTTGGGTGCTTTACACCATCTCCACAATCACTGGAGGCTCCACCAATGCTCTGTGGTTTTGCTTACTTTCATTTTCACATGGTCAGGGGAAAGGTGGTGTCTGGGTTTTGGCCAGGGAATCCTGGACTGAGGTTCTGCATGATGCACCCTAAAGTCACTGCATGCACAGGAATGATCCCTCTGCATGGGATTTACAGGGAACTTACCCTTGAGAACTGGGAGAGCAGGGGTATAACTGCAGTGAAGTTGCAAAGCTCTTAGTTGGGTGATAATTTGGAAGAGGGGAAAGGAGCAGTGAAGGGAGGATGAGTTGAGGAGGGTTGTGAGATGGGTGAGGCACAAGTCTCCCATGGGAGACTCCTGTCTTCTTAACGTGGACGATCAGGTCACTGCAGATGAAGAAGAGCTTGCTGGGGAAAAAAAAAAAAACAAAAACAAAACTTATCCAGAAAAAAAAAAAAAATGGGACAAAACAATATCCCAAAGATGCTTGTTAGGACTTCAGAATGGACCCAGGCCTTGGACATCTGGCTATCCTGAGCTAGTGGGGTGCAGAGTCCATGTGGTTTTAGAGGAGTTCATGGGCACCTAAGAACAGGCAGCCACATTTCAGCCTTTCCAAAGGAGCCACCTTAGTGCCTGGAATTGCAGCCTTCTCCTCAACATCACAGTAAAACTTCCCAAGACTGACTCCAAAGTAACAAAGACACACAAATGCACACAAGAAGACCAAGCAGGCTCTCCTTTTCCTGAAGCTGGCACTGCATATGAGACAAAGATGTTCCAAATCTACTCCAACTAAACAGGTATACACGTGCATTTCTTTTCCTAGTTTAGAAAAGAAAAAAGTATTTATTTGGCTTTTGTTTCAAAAATCACTATGCTGTGACATTTTTCAGGAAAATGTTTCAATTAGAGTTTTATTGCTCTATATATTTTTTTTCCAAGTAAGATGGATTTAGTATCTTGTTCCATATACTCAGCAAGAGAGTAAATCAGAATTTCTAGGAAACTGGGAAGTCTCAAGTGAAAATACCTGAGTACCAAGAAAATATTTAAGATTGGGGGCATGGAAGTAAAAAGAACATTTCCTTTGGGAGGAGAAGCTGCAGTTTAAAGAGAAATGTCTTCCCTCTGCAATTTTGCATTGCTGGCAATCTAGGAGATGTAGCCCAACTAGAAGAGGGAAACCTTTAGGACTCGATGACAATGTTAAGGAATTCCAGAGACCCTCCTACAGGAAACAAAAGTCAAAAAATGAAAAGGAAAGAGGCCAACAACACCTTTCAGTTAAAAACTCCCTGTCATTTCTGCCATTGTTTTACAGACAAAAATGTCAAGGGAGACAGTGTATTCTGGTGGCATATATTCCCATATTTCCTCTTCCTTGTGAGCTTGGCTAAGACATTTGTGTTGAGCCCAGTAATCCCACAGGAGGCTGAATAACATTTACTGCAAGGTCTAGACATGGAGCCTTGTGCTTCCCAGGTTAGCCCAGGATACTCTCCAACCACAGCACTTCAGGAGAGGGATTGCCAATATCCCATACTTGAAAGAGATTGTGAAAAAAATCTTTCCTCTGAACAGCTGCAAGTGAAACTGACATAGAATAGGGGCAGGAAGGGAAGACTCACTCAGGCTGAAGTTTGGGGGGTCCCTCTGATTACCCTCAGGCTAATAAAGCTGATGGCTCTCTGAAGCTACTGTTTGGTTCCTGGGAGCCATGGATGTGGAGAAAGAATTTGGCATTAATCCTGTGAACCCCAAAAGGAGGTCTCTGGTTCTGCAGGGGTGCCTGTGGCAAGCCTTCCATGGCTGCAGGGAGCAAAGTTAAAGGCCAGCTGCTGGTCTCACCATGGGATATACATCCAAATTAAATGTGCAGTGGTCTTACTCCTGATGTATACCACCATACCAGAGAGGAAAAAAATTTCTCCAATAATTTTAATTAGGAGAAAGACATCTAGAGCTAATCAAATAATTCTTTATGCAAGGCATGGCCAGCCCTTCTCAGCCTGCAAACTACTAAGCAAAACTTCCATGCCATGGGGAGCCACCAGATTCTGATCCCTGAGCCTGAATACCATGCAGAGGAGGAGCTGGGAGGCAGAAAATGAAAGCTGCCCATGCCTGAATTCTGCATCTCCCTGGCTCACGCTGCGTGTTGGACCACAGGGGCTCCTGCACAGGCTCACATCCACCAGGCAGTCGGCCACCCCCGATCCAGCACTGGGCTTCATTTTCACAGTCACACACATGGCCAAACATCGCTAATTCAGTGGGAATTAGAGGCTTTAAGATCCGACTTCCATGATTCAGAAGCTTACAATTTTGCGGGACGTGGGTGCGCTTCCCTCACGTGGGACATCTGAAAGGCCAAGGCTTGCTCATCTTCAAAATTACACGTAGTGTTTGGATATCTTTCATGTCGCAGTGCAATTTCCAGGATGAATGCATGTGCTGCACCCCTTTATGGTAAGTGTGTTTTAATTTAGGCCTCTGTGATGTAAGACCCTGAAAAGCGCATTTAAAATTGAAAAGGCAGCTGGTCCTCAATACTAAAGGCACAAAGGCGATACCACAAAGCATCTTCTGAAGGGTGTGCCTTCTTCAAACACACCTTCATTAGAAAGATTAAAATTCAGAAGAGAGACGGCACATGTCTTACAGTCATTATTAAAAAACAAAACCAAAAAAGTCAGTGGAAGCATTATAACTATGAATCTAAGTTTAGTTCTTTATCCAAGCTGCATGTTGGCACAAGTGCAAAGGAAAGGGCTCCTGTTTAGGCAGCAAGTATTTGTAGGTGAAAACACTACTTTAAAGGGTGAAAAACGTGTTTCATCTCTAGAGAGTTATTTTTGAACTTGGAAATCAGGGCATAAAGGATTTTCCTAGGGCAGAAATGCACACTGGAGCACTTTTACTCAGGCCACACAAGGCAAATGACTACAACCATGTTCTGTTTGATGGGGCACCTTCACAGCAGCATTTCATTTTAATCCATGATGATATAAACTATAAGAAGAGAATTTGAAGTGTGCTATTTAGGCTTGAAGCATTTAACTTTGCTCCAAAATTCTTCTAAGTTTGGAGTAATTCTGGTATGTCTCAGAAATATGTTAGAATTTATTTCTGTCTATTCCAAGAGTAAATTACAGATTCCTTCTGTTGTAATGGAAGGCAGTCTCCTCCACCCCTACAAATGACTGAGAAGGATAAAAATTAGCATATAAGATCAGACATGATTTTACTGATACCCTAACTAAATCAAAAGTCCCAATATATAACTTATTATTAATTTTTTTTCAAGATCTTATGTTTCTCAGTGATTATCTCCACCCCAAAACTTGAAAAATCAATACAAGAAAATACTGTATAACAAAGTGCCATTGTTAAAAGCCCCTTTTGGGGTAGCTGTGTGCAGCAAAGTTACTGCAGAGCTTTCACAGCTTCCTGCAATAGGAGACATTATGATCAAAGAAAGCCCTGGCTGTGATTTTGGTGATAGCTAAATGGTAGTGGCACAAAGTCCTTACCACTCTTGAGAAAGCACAGGGCAACAGGCTCTGGTGACCTTTCTCAAAGGTGCCTTGCTCATACTGTTAGCAGGGTACCTCCATCTGCAGGGGGGATAGAATTGACCTTGCCACAGGAAAGTAGAAATCATCTCTGCTTTCTGCCTTCTCAGGATTTTAAAGAAGACAGCCATCCCTGTTTCTTTCAAGAAAACAAAGACTTGTCCTGCTTTGCTCGCAAGCCAGAGAGAGGCCAAAATTTAGACTGCCATTTCACAAGACTTGATCAAGTCTTGTGGGAGAGCTTTCACGTTTGTTACTTTCTTAGACTGAAAACCATCAAAGAGAAGACCCAAATCTCTTTAGAGCTGAGCAGGAACCAGTTTAAAGGAAGTGTTTCAATGTCACAGCTTTCCAGAGTATTTTGTGCAGCAACAAATTAAATACTGGTAGTGTGGCCATGTCTTTGGCACTAGGAGAAGTAGTTACGTGCAAGGTATTGCATCCAGATCATGTGGTTATAGAGCAGTTATTTTACTCCTCTGTGAGTGTTGGACTACAACTTCCATTGTATAGAAGGAACAGATCAGGTGGGAAAGAAGAAGCAGAATGGAAAAAATAAAGGAAGAGCCCAAACTCTGTGATATGTTTGATGAGGACAAAACTGATAGTATAAAAAAAATACCATCATTCACCAAAATGTCATCTTCATAAGCTCTCTAGCTCTCTTTTAGTTGTTTGGGGTTTTTTTAGGTGACAAAATGCAGAGATTCGTGTCCACATTGAACACACGACCCTGAAGTCATGCATGGTTCCAGCATATGTGTGTGTTCTCCAGTATGTGAAACCAGGAGGCAGGGATTTATCATGAGTCACTGAAGGTCTATAATGGCTGTTTAAAATAAAATATCTCTTCTGGATCGTCTGATCCTGCTTCCACTGCCTTCAGTGGGGCTGAATCAGGCAGTTATCATCAGTGCCATGTAACTCCTCCCTTTCAAACCATCCCTCCAGCCATACTTTGTAAAGCTGCAGTCAAATAATTATCATGTGTAAAAGTACATGCAGGAGGGGATTAAATTCTCTTCCTAAACATAGCTTACAGCACATCCATTTAAGTGTAAATGCTGGGGTTTCTAGACTTGAAGAGAAAAACAGAATCAAAGGCAAATGTTTACCTGCCATGGATATGGAGGTTTCCTTCACAGTCTCTTCAACTTAAGTCAGGTACTCCTGGTCAGGGAAGTGAAGCTTATTTTTCAGAATGTTGTCCATTTGCTGTTTTCTAAATAATTCTTTTTGGTCACACTGAACCTTAAATTAACCCCCACTCCTACCCGCTTGCAATTTTAGCACGATGGCATTAGCTGCAAGAAGGGACAAAAAAAGCCCTTCAGCTGCCACTTCAGCACGCCCCATATCTTGGATTGTTTTTACTTTCAGCTTTTAAGGCCAGAACAGGCATCCAGCAATAACCAGCCCTTTTCTGATTCCTCTAAGAGACTGGAGAGTCTACTAGTCTTAAACAAGGGAGCTCTGTGAGCAGGATCAAGCTTGTGCTTTTAGTCTTGTAGGTGTGAGGCTCTCATAACCTGGGCTTGCAGTTCTGGGCTTTGTTAAGCCTGGCAGAAAACACTGCTGGGGATGCAGCTGGCAGTGGGCACCTGGAAGGTGCATCCAGACATTTGCATCCAGTACCTGCAAATAGCAGCTTCTGTTAACAGCCACACACAGAGCAGAGCTGTGAGCCCTCAATCCCTTCTAGATGGAGCTGGCATCCATACTGGAGTATATGTGCAGTCCCCAAAGGTTTTTGTGTGCAGTGACTAATTACTTTTCTCCTTAGAACTGGGCAGGGAAGCATAATATGTGTGTGATTACCAGAACATAAAAGGAGCACAAGATTATTTTCCATGGGAATCCTTGGAGAACATTTTGGAGGGTGGCTGTCTAAAGAGGTGTTCTCTTCAGGACCATTAAACTCCCCTCCCAGCTTCTTCGTCATGTCCTGCGACTTATCCCAGAGCTATTCCGTGGTGCATGGGGTTAACCATGAGCCTTCTTTAGCTCTAACTCTCCACCTCTGAGTCCTTCCAGGACACTCATAAGCCATGTGCTATATTTGCCTAGCTGGAGTTGTTATGAGGATGTTGACACAAGGGAAAATATCTGCCTGGAGAAGAGGGTGGACTGGCACCCTTTGAAATTAAATATGGCCACGCATCTGCAAAGGACTGAGTGGGTCAGTGTCACTGAGCAGCCCTGAAGCCAAGGGCTGAGTAAATGAGGATCCAGGCAGGCTACATACAACTCATTTCCTCTGTGTACCATACACCATCAAACATCTGACCCAGCCATGTCAGCATATCCATATTTCAAATGCTTAATCTAACTCCAGAAGCCTTTCCTGATTGATACCTGTGCAGGGGTTTCTCCCACAGACAGGTCTAGACTGGGTAAACCTGCAATTATAACCACTCAGACACTGAATAGGACCCTGTACTCACAGCAAGACACCGGATGCAAAAAGGAGGTCAAGCCACAAAAACTGGTTTTGCCAAAGTAGTCACTCAAGTGTTCATCATGTCACCTGCTGAGGCTGATCAAAGAGCTTTGCAATAATGGGGATGTGGGTGTTCAGAGGGGATGGTCTCACAATAGCTGTGAGAGAAAGGGAGGAACACCCAAGTGAAGTTTGGCTATCAGAAGGCAGCTTTCTGAAATGCACTTAAAGGTTCAAACCTAATTCAAATAACCCTCAAGGAGGGGAGGAAAAGGTGTGCACAAGTCCAGTGTTTTTCCAAGAGCCATCACTTTTGTGCTCCCTGAAGTAAAACCAGATTATTTGGCATCTGTTTGTTCAGTTCCCATGGGGCCCTGGAAACAGCTGTATCAAAAATGCAGAAACCTCTCAAGGGTGGAAAGGCATCTCAAGAGAAGAGCAGCCCTTCCCTCATGCCAGAAGTAGCCTGGCTTTAGGACTAATCCTGAGGTTGCAGTGACACTTGCAAAGTTCCTGCACACTTATTTTTCAATTTGATGGGCCAGGGCATGCTGAGTCAGGAATGCACAGGAGCAAAGCACTGCTGCAGAACTGGCAGCAGTAAGTGAAGGTTTCGTAGCAGCTTTTCCTTCCAAGCATTCAGCACAGAAAGGTATGCAAAAAAGTTCAAGAAGCAGCTGTGCACCCATCTCTCCTTGAGTCCATGCCAGGGACTTGACTCTAGTGGCACTCCCAAAACCATCATCCTGCACCACTATGTGTGAAGGAATCACCCCCACCAACACTGCTGCCTCACTAAACCTGCTAGTGCCACCCTCTCACCAGGGTGGAATTTGGGGGTGGGAAGGCTGAAGTGTTGAACTCAAGATTAGAGCATTTTCCTGCTATCTGCACCACAAAGACAATGTGTCATGTGCTTGTGAGACTACGATTTAGGTTTGTTATCATCCCTTTATATCAAAAGGAAGTTATGCACACAAAGGAAACACCAAACCACCATGTCAGGGGGGCTATAAATCACTTACTGCTGAATATTTAGAGGGCAACAGAGTGCCCAGTAGGAAAGCAAAGGTTTTGAAAATACTGCTTTTCCTCACCATCTCCCCCATTTCAATAAACTTTGCTTTTATTTTGGGAGAGGACGAAGGAGAAGCACGAGGTTTGAGGAACATAGCTACGAAAGACACCAGATTTGTCCCATAGGCATGACTCATGCCTGACTGTGTGCACTGGTCAATGCCTTCCCAGCCATCAGCACATTTGTTGCTGTTGCCCAAGCTGATCCCACAGTGTCCTGAAAAGCCATACAGCTTTCTAAAAGGCAACAGGACAGAGATCACCTTAATGCTTCTACTTTCTGTCCTAGTAAAATGCAGGTTTACAAAAAAACAAAAAAAAGGAGAAGTGGGATAGTCAGCTCATCTGGCAGCAAGGGTCCTTTCTGCTTGCCTGCTCTGGTCTTAGCAGCCTCCAAAAGGACATCCTGGGAAGGCTGCAAGGAGCTCTCCACATCCTCTTCCCCTGGCAGGTGCCCAAAAGCATCCTGAAAATTCTCCAAACCATATGCTAAAATCCCTCTGTATTTTCAAAAAGCCTCTGTATTTCCAAACTCTGTGACCTCCCAAAAAAGTGTCGGCCCTGAAAGACTCTACCTTATCTAAATGTGGCAGATCATTTCTGTAGCTCTTAAATTCTGAGCCATTATGATGGGGAAAAGCACAGATGTAATCATTGCTTTTAAAATATGATTGCTGCTTGAAAGAATTATTGGGGTGGGGGGTAATTGTCTGGAGGATGGCATGATTCAGGACTGCTGACTTCCAGTCCTCACTCATTCAAAGTCACCAAGTGAGTCAGTGGAAAAATCATTGACTTCAGCACAGTCAACAGGGTACCAACATTCATATTTAGGTTCCTAAATCAACAGTGTGCAAGATTTCAGCTCAAAGGCTGAAAGGTTTTACAAGTGAGAGCAAGTGAAGGCAGAAGGCTACATTGCAAGCCTGCAGTAAATGCCATCCTAAACTCTGACACTTCAAATTCCAGTGGTTCTCACCCTAAATAAGTGCTAGCTAAAGGTGCAACAGCACTCAGGGAAGTTTATTCCAATCCAATCAGAAGCAAGGTTCTCGGCAAGAACCAAAGTATTACTCTGCCAAATAAATGTTTCTTTTGAATTTAAAACACAGGACAGTCATAGCAGGCAAATTGTTAGTATGCAGGAGGTGCTGCCTTGAAGCTCTGCCACCAAAGGCTAATTAATTCTAGGTACCTTAACAATCGCATCACAGGGAAGCGCTATTCTGTGTCTGAGCAGAAGCTCTGTATACAAACAACACAACACACAAAGAGAAATCACACCTCTGAGAGAGAGCCTTTTCATTCAGAAAACTCAGCTCAAACACGCTACTTACAAGAACCGGCACAGTAACCTGAATATTAGAAAAATAAAATTCAATTCTTTGGTGAAAGTAATAGTAAGAGGTCTGTGCAGTGAGTGAGAGAAATCATTAAGAGAATAAATCGCTTAGCAGCTTGCAAATTGGCAGGACAGTGGAAGCAGAGATCAAATAAGAGATCTTGCAAATCCACAGGAAATGACTCAAGAAGCTAGATCAAGTAAAACTTCAGCTTCCAAGCCTCAGACACATTTGCTTCTCACCATCAGGGTAAATAATGTGCACACACAACATAAGCACATAAAAATACATCCAGATCACACAGACAAGCTCTCAAGTATTAATCAGGCAGTGATTAATACCCAGTCCTCCTCAGAGGTATAACCATTATAATGGCCTTTTAATTACATGATTGTGCCCTGGGTTTTTCACGCGGCTGTAACTCTCCCCATATTCTGCTTCTGGAGTAACCAACTGCTAAATGCCACGCTCCCCACTTCAGGCACATCAATGTTCCTGCTAATCACAGAAATTTTTGGCATGAAAGACTTTGAGGATGTTAGGGGTCTGCGTAATCTCAGCACCCTTTGGGGGGAAAAATAGACATGGGATGGGTGGAAATGTGTCAAATCATTACATCTGGTCTTTTATTGTACAGCAGCTGAAGACGTTCCTGCCATTTCCTTGCCCCCAACCACTTACTCCTGCCCTGACACTTCCTTTTGCTGCCAGCTCAGCTTTGCCAAGATGTTTATCATGCCATTCTGCAAGCTGGATGCTTGAATAACTTTCCAAAAGAAAGAGGTATTGGGGGGTATTATTAGCTGGGACCATTTAGCAGATCCAGCAGTGTCACTCCTCAGAGGGGGATGCATTAGCACAGCCAAGGGGGTGACAAACCGTGCTTTGTAAAGGAATGTCTGGGAAGGGGATGGGGGGATAGGCAGCACTGCCACCCAAAAGAGCACCCACAGTCTGCCGAAGGGAGGGCAGCAGGCTTGCACTCTCACACATTATCTGGTGTTAGGGCCAAACCTCTAACAGTGACAGGAGCTTTACTATAGTATTGTGCCACAAAACTGCAGATTCTGGTACCACCTCCAAAGGACATGCTGCTTCTCGCTGAGGAGAAGACCTCAAAGCTTTCATCACCTCTTGCCTCCATCTCAATACTAGCAGTCCACAGATTTCTCTCCGAGTTGCCACTTCTGCTCCTGAAAAGAAAATTTACAGCACTTAGAAACTGAAACCCAGCAGAGCAGAAACACAATTTCCATGCCAAAATCTGAAGGCCCCTTCAAGACTAAATCCCACAGACTAGACTTGAAAGTCAAATCAGTATGTGACTCCCTTAGGAACTGCAGCCATATCGAGACTGAATATCCCAAGGCAGTGAGAGCAGAGATGGGGCCTCTCCCTACCTGCAGTGGGAAAGGGATGCTGCAGTGGAGGGGCCTGCAAAAGCTGGAGGGCAAGGTGATGTGCTCAGGTGGTACAGACAGATTTCTTCTCCCAGGATTAACTGATCACAGAGGACCCAATGCAGGAAGCAAAACCAAAACTCATGACTAGTTACTCAACTTCATGGGCCAAACTATCTTTTCAATAGTCAGCTCCTGTTAGTCCTCCTCTGTGGACCGAGCAAGTCCTGAGGGCAGATGTCATGGTGTAGCTATGAACACGACACAACTTGGTAGAGTGTTTACAGTCACGGCACTGTTCAGTGCAGCAGAGAACATTTGAACTGACCCACGAGAAAAGCCATAGGATGTTACCAGCATGTTGGCATGCACCCCACAGCAATTCTGAATGTGGCTCTAAGGGGGGGGATTTGAGCTCTTGTAGAGGGTGAGGTGGGGTGATCACAAGGGTGGTGAGAAAACAGCACCTGAACCTCGGGACGTGCTGCTGCGGGGACAGCACTGGCTCTCTGGGCTTCTCCCACTGACCAGCTGCCAGCCACTCACTGGCACACGGCATCACGGTATGGAAACACTTCCTATGGGTCTCATCAGCCACGATGAGGAGCTGCACCGAGCCAGGCTGCCCTGGGCTGAACCAAACCAAGCTGAGCCAGGCTGGGCTGAACCCAGCCAGGCTGGGAAAAGTCAGGTTGAGGTGAACCGAGATGCCCAGAGAAGGGCAACAAAGTTGCTGGAGGGTCTGGAGCAGGAGTCTCATGAGGAGTGGCTGGGGGAGCTGGGGTTGTTTGGCGTGAGAAAAAGAGGCTCAGGGGTGACCTTATCACTCTCTACAGCTACCTGAAAGGAGCTTGTGGCTAGGCTCGGGGTTGGTCTCTTCTCCAAGTTAACCAGTGACAGGACAAGAGGACACACACTGTGACGCTGCGCCAGGAGAAGTTAAGGCTGGACATTAGGCGGAATTCCTTCACAGAAAGGGTCATTACACATTGGAACGGGCTGCCCAGGGAGGCGGTGGTGCCACTGCCCCTGGAGGTGTTCAAGGGAAGGCTGGACGTGGCACTCAGTGCCACGGTCTGACACCGCGGTGTTCGGTCATGGGTTGGACCCGATGTTCCCAGAGGTCTTTTCCAACCTAATCGATTCTGTGACTTTTGAGCGCGGCCTGGCAGGGCTGAGCCAGGTCCCGCTGGGTC